GAAAGGAGATGGGTCAGTTCTTAACTACCCTCACTATGCTTTGTGATCCTTTCTCCTCCACCTCCAGGGTTTCATGAAAAGATATAAAGCTCTAACATTATGTCAATATTGCTACTTACAAAGGTGTTCTAATGACATAGAGTGAGTCAACTCTTTGCATTTGTCAAATTCCCAGGTCAGATATTACAGTTATCATTAGCTCTGTGTATGGGAGTTTGTGTCCTCAAATTCTGCAGCTGGTACTCATCAGATAATGCCCATCTCTCTGTTTATCTAGTTATTCCAAAATAGGAAAGGAGGCTTCAAGTGATGGACAGATGGTTCTGTTCCCCTTTGGGTCTGGGGAGGGTGTAGGAATGGCTGTGGTAAAGGAGAGACCTGTGCTGCCATAAGGCACCTCTTTGAATTGTGACAACCTGTCAGAAACATGCATTAACTAGTTTTCCAATGGTTACTTGGGATTTCACAACCACTGAAATAAAAAAAAAAAAAGAAAGAAAGAAAGAAAGAAAGCTCTTAGCCAATGCCATCTAAGCATTTAAAGCCAGGATAACAACTTTAAACACGAAAAATCACAGGCATGGTAGACTAGCCCTGTTTAGCTGATCTATTGGAGAATGGCCAAGAATTGACTGACTACCTAATGAGTAATGGGGTCAACTGTTCCTCAGCACAGGAGAAAGGTTTATTGGGTGTATACACCATGCTTGCAGTATGAATGCATTGCGTAACAAATGCTCTGCAATTTCTTTTAGCCCAGTACGGTCAATTAGAAGTGCCTGTTTTGCTATAGCTGGACAAACCACTCACTGATCTAATTGGCATCCTATTGCTCCTTTTCTCTGCTGTTCTCACATTGTGATGATAAAGGCAGGCAACTTCTTGTTCCTCTCTCTAGGGAATACTTTGAAGCACACTATGTTTCCTTTCTCTGTGTTTTTAATCAGCCTGAGGAAGATTAATCAATTGGAAATCTGCCACACGTGGGTTCTATGAAACAAGAAAAGGGAGAACACTGATGGCCCCGTTGCTGAGGTTTGTGCCAGAAAGCTAGGTGGAGGTGTGTGCGAGCACAGCTAATCATTCATATAGAATGCAGAGTGGTCACAGGCCACTCTATCCTCCCCCACACCTTGGGCTCCTTACCTGCTGCTGGGTGGCAGATGGGCACAGGTACCTGCTTCCTTTACCCACCCACAATATGGGTCTCTGGAGGCGATACACGTTCTGCAGGAAGAAGATGACCATGAGTTGCCTAGGACTCCTTTCTAACCACTGTGGATTTTCTAATTGTCAAAAAGAGGCAAAATACATACTTTTTACACTTGCCATGTCGTTCACACCGGCCAAGGGGTACTTTTATCACGCAGGTAGAGAATGCAACATACAGAGAGCTGCTGGCCCTGTCCAGCTGCATGCCCATGATCCTTTTGTCTTCTACTCCATCGTAGCTGCACCTGACATTATGTGGCAGTATAATAGCATTAATAGACACTTTTCTTTTTTTAAAAAAAGATGACCTGTAAGGGGATCTTAACCCTTGACTTGGTGTTATCAGCACCATGCTCTCCCAAGTGAGCTGACTAGCCATCCCTATATAGGGATCTGAACCTGTGGCCTTGGTGTTATCAGCACCACACTCTCCCAAGGGAGCTATGGGTGGCCCTAATAGATGCTCTTGAGTCAGTTCTCTTTTTCCTACCACCACCCTCTAATTCCACTTCCCAGCCCACAAGGTGATCTCTTAATCTGATCTAACTGAAGATGGGCACATGCACACACACATTACACACAAACACATATAAACACACATTACTGGCAAGGAGAAAATAAAGCTGTTTATGTGTTAAAAGATTTTTACAAACAGCATTGAAAGTCATCTAAAAATGCATAAAACCTATGTCTGCCATGATTTTCTCTGAACAAAAGCAATCATAATAGCATCAGAAATAATTACTAAGAAAGAAGCAAACATTCCACTCACTTTTCAGGGTTGTAAATGCTCATCTCCTCCAGGAAAAGGCTGTCATTTAGGAAACCACTGTTTCCTATCCTGGCCAAGAACTTCAAGATGATTCCCTTCTCCGATCCCAGGAAAACCACGGTGTGATTCTGATATGGCCCAGCCGCAGTGTCCACTGCAATTTTGGTCAGGCGATATCTGTAATGACAGGATTGCATTTTTTTATCTCTTCGTTGGTCTATCATTAAAATGTCCCCTTTTCCACTTCAAACAATTGTGACATAGCTTTCTAGTAATAACCTCAAGAAAAATATATGCATATAAATAATGCTCTCAAGCAGTTTTGGTCCTTTATTTCCATATGTAGAGCATTAGTATGGCTCCAAATGGGAGGAGAAAGGAGATATGTGTGTGTGGAGGCCAAGTTCTGTAATAAATAGATAGCCACAATCATCTGAAACCACTCAGTGATGATCCCTTCCAGGAGCAACAAGGAAAGACTGATGTCTCCTATGAGGAGGGTAAGAAATAATAAGTGAACTCACTTAATTTCATTTAACTTTGAAAAGAAAATCAATGGCCACCATTTCTGAATACTCTTCCTCCAAGGTGCAAAGCTTTTGTCAACAAACGTGAAATTGGAAAGCTTCCTGATTGTATGTAGAAGGACTAAAAATCAATGGCCACCATTTCTGAATACTCTTCCTCCAAGGTGCAAAGCTTTTGTCAACAAATGTGAAATTGGAAAGCTTCCTGATTGTATGTAGAAGGACTGAGAGAGTTCTGAAGGATGGGGAGGTGGGGTGCTAATGGCACTACCAATAAATATGAGGACATGCAGGCCAAACAAGATCCATTTAAATCCAAAGGTGAAGGTCATGCCTAGGGTAAGTCCTACAGGGCATCCTCTTTCTCTGAAATCCCTTGATGATTCAACATCCCATGAATACATATTTATACTAAGCACAACTGCAGAAACCAGAAAAATTCGACCCTCCTGCAAGTAATATAACATGATCTCCATCTTAAGGGCATGCACACATATATACACATAAACACACATGGTGGCAAAGTTAATTAACATTTTGTTTGATTGGATGGCACTGCTGGATGGCACTTGGGAAAGTCTGTCAAATTGTTTGGAATTAAGCTCTAAATAAATACAAGGAAGAGTACTGAATGCTATCACAGATCTCTAATCAGCTATCCCTTCTCCATTGGCCACCACTTCAGATAACTAATACTAAAATATGAATCCTTCATGCTGATATATTTGTGCAAATGTGGTGTTTTGCACACTACAATCCAGGAACCATGCTCAGGTGAAACTTGCAGCATGTTTTGCAATCATATCCACCCAAACAGGTATCCATATTCATTCACTGGTTCTCCTTCACTGTTCCTCTATTTTTGCACAGATTGGATTAATGGTCTAATCCGGAAGGATGTATCTTTCTTTCCTCTAATTGCTGGCATGTGTGTCATTAGCTTGAAAATATTGGAACTCTTCTCACTGGGAATGTGGCTATGGGGGTTAGGTGGCATCCACCCAACCCACCAGCATTCCATAGCTGAATCAATGCCCAGGATAGCAGAAGATGTTTATGGCATTTCAAAGCATGATCCACTGATAGGTTCCATGAGAAGGAGATGAAGTCAGGAAAATCCATTGAGGATGAGGTTTGCTGGACACCCACCTGACCATTGTTCTCAGGAACCACGGCCTGTTGAAGATGGAAGGCACCGCCTCATCCATGAGTGGGTGTGTCTTGATGAAGTTCAGGGTGTCATCAGGAAATTCATTGGAGGTTGCATATTTTTCTAAGGAGGAAGAGCCAGCACAGCAACCTGGCCTAAAATGAAACAAAGGGTGAAAGAGAGCTTGTTTTGTGCCTTATGGCAAATTCTTTGAATGAACTGCTTCTCTAAGCATCTGGCATGAAGGAGAATGTACCGCAGGCTGAGAGGAGGAGGCTGAACAATGCAGAATGCCACCAGCTACAATATGCTGAGATTTCCTCTGGGCCGCCTCCTCATTTCGTAGAGGAGCCTCAGCCAGCAGGGTTCAGCTTCAGCTGGGGGCAGCTTGGCTCCTTCCCAGAAGCACAAACAAATCCCAGTAAACAGTGGTGGAGCTTGAAACACACAAGCAAGTGTGGTTCGCACATAACTGAGGGATGACTCTGCTCATCTAAAAACGCTGCTAGAGGTTCTTGACACATTTGCTCTACGAAGGACGAGAATTAAGTTGACCTTTTTGCAAGTGTAGAAAACAAAGACATTCAAAAACACACAGGTACATACCAGGAAGACTCAGTATAAACATCCCTCATTATATGGGTCTCGCTCAGAGAACATTTGGGTTTTGTTTTTTGTTATTGTTTTTATTTTTGTTTGATTTTAGCAGATATGAAAAGCCAGTTATACTGAAGACTTTTTCCTGAAAGGTCATTTCCTTGTAAGTGAACAATTGCAGTGAAAAATCACTTTTACAAGAAATTCTATGGTTTTCAGGAGTCTAGGGACATTCCAGCATAGTAAGATCAGGGAAACACGGAAGCCACTCCTGTGCAGACACTTGGTTTGCCCAGTGGTGTGGGAGAAGAGATGGGCCCTCACAACACTGGCATGAGCTACCTCTATGTGGATGCTGTTACATGGCTACCCCAGCCAGCCCCATGAAAGTACCCTGACATCTGCAAGAGGGACAAGGCAGGCACATGGAAGGATGTGGGTGAACCCACTGCCACAGGTAGGGAATCACTTGAAGTGTGCGTCCTGATGATGGTTGAGTGACACCATCTTTACACACCAAGGAGGGAGTGTTACATAAGCACTCCCTGAAACCCGATTCCTCAGGTTTAACTCCCCTTCCTGCTTATCTAGAAGGCAGTTAGCAATCCCAGGTGATGATTTAGAGAATCTGTATGAGGTTACTGGTGTGCACTTTTGCACCTAGTCTGCTCTCCATAAGCAATGGAGTTTGAACATGCCAAATAATTCAGGTGATGAAGATGGACGAACCACATGAGTTTCTCCCCTGAGTATAATGGTTTATATTATCAAGTTAGTTCGATTAAATGCACTCGGCTAGGTATTTTGTGGAGATGACTGGAGGCTGGGGGAGAGAGTTGGAAAACAAAAAATGTAATAAGACCTTGGGCTTCCTGCCAGAGGCACACAAATTCAGTGGGGAAAGGCAGACACACAGGGATGTTTCCCTATGACTTAGACTGCAAATGCTGCAATGGAGATATGCCATGTGTGCCACGTGGAGAGGGCGAGGCAGGATTGGGGGAGAGTTCCAGCCTGGTCCAGTTAGAAAGAGTGAATTAGCTGATTTAAGTGGGAGGACTGAAGGATATCACATAGAACCAAGAGATCGAGGGCGAGGCAGGATTGGGGGAGAGTTCCAGCCTGGTCCAGTTAGAAAGAGTGAATTAGCTGGTTTAAGTGGGAGGACTGAAGGATATCACATAGAACCAAGAGATCTCTGGACCATAGGTTCCCCTGAAAGCAGTTCTAGGGCATGATTTGGGGAGAGGGAACTCTGCACTGCATCTGGACTCCAAACAGACCAGAACCTGGCGGACCAGAGATATCCACTGTACCCACTGGACTCTTCCTGCCCTTGGTCTGTAGTCCGGAACTCTGCACTGCATCTGGACTCCAAACAGACCAGAACCTGGCGGACCAGAGATATCCACTTTACCCACTGGACTCTTCCTGATCTTGGTCTGTAGTCCAGGGAACACCATTTATATTTCACATTTTATTAGGGTTTAAAGACACAAGTGTAGTAAAATATAAGGGAAGCAGAGAGGAGCAATGGAAATAATCTCCCCAGCTATGTAAACGTGTACAATGCACTTTACCTCTCTAGGCCTCAGTTTCTCCAACTATAGACCAATGGGGCCAGCTCTATCAGATAGTTCCTATCATCCTAGTATTACAATGGATAAACCACACATATAGAGGTTAAACAAAAGACTAGAGAGTCACTGTTTTGTTTACTAGAGGGTATATTCAATGTAAGTCTGAGTTTTGGTTAACGGGATGAAGGTAAATGACTTCACAGGGCTTTCTGCTGTTCTGGCATTTATATCTTCCTGGCCAGCATGGAAGGCACTGGTGTGTAGTTCACAGGATGCTCACTAACAGAGAAACAAGGGTCAACATTTCTAGAAGTTTAAACTAGCCATATAAATATTTGTACGTACCTGGGCTTAGGAACTCGTTCATCAGGAACGGGTGTCCAGGTGGAATCAGGAGACTTCTGTTCCTTGAATCTCCCAGTAAAAACACTGGCAATGTCAAGCATGTCATAGGCACAGACTGCAGAGCCCGGGATGCTACAACATGACATTGCACATAAAGTGTTATGCAACGGTTATGCGTACAGTTTGGAAAACATACTCCAAAGAAGCTTTCCTACTATAGGCAGTTGTAATTTAAAGCCCATGCTTTGAAAACTATAAATGTAAGTAAGGGATCTTAGTGCATAAAGAGAGGGTTTCTCTCAATCAAATTTGCATTAATAGCTTTAAAGAATGGACTAGTTACAGCAAATTCACAGAGAGGAGGAAAAAAACCCTTTATGTCTACACTACCTCTTGAGTCATTTTTATTTATAAGGAATTGTTGAGCTGGTGATAGAGGTTTTCATAAATTCTCTAATAGTAATTATTGGTCAGTAACCCAAAGATAAAAATCTCTGGAGAACATTCTGCATTTCTAATATTGGTGAACATGTGAAATAAAAGTGCCCCCATTGTCCACATATGGTTTCTTTCAATTCAGTTCTTTTTTTTTTTTTTTTTGTCTTTTTGTCTTTTTTCCGTGTCCGGCAACGGATCGCAAC